ATGCTTTAAACTTCAACTGTTTTCTATTTAAAAATATTAAAATCATTTTAATTACTATAAAGCATTGTATGTTCATATAGAGAAAACAATTAAAAAGCAAACCACAATCTTTTACCACCCTAAGGCTATTTAATCACAGATCATTTTCTAAGTGAGGTCTTTACCGATAACATTTTTGAAATTGATGCAGAACCCATAATGAACTCCCAGTCCTCCTTTTCTCTTATTTTTCTCCATAGCATTTATAGCTACCTAGTATTCATTCTTTTTCTTTCTCTTCCTTCCCTCATCTATCAATCTATTGGTCTATTTCTTCATTCATTTATTAAATGTCTCCATCCTAAAACTTTGCTCTATGAAACAACATTTATATTTTGTTCACTGCTCTATCACAAGTCCCTGGAACACTGCTAATGTGTGCATATTTGTGCATATGTGTTAAATGATTGGTTAAATGATTGGTCAAATGAATCCTATCTTGTTATCAGGTTTAAGCAATATATACCATTTTAAAATTTTTCATAGGACACTTCAGTTTTTACATCAGAGTTAACTAAACCCCGTTTTTCTTTCATTTAGGACATTAAAAACTTCATTATTAGTATTCTTGGATGAATATACTTGATGCTTAAAACTCTGGACATACTATTAATTATTTTTTAGGGTAATCCCAGAAGGAAAATTTTAGGGTTAAATGGCATGTATATTTGAAACATTCTGCCAGCCTGCCCTTGACAATCACTGATATCAACTTATACTTCCACCATGATGTAGGAGAGTGCCCAATTTTCCACACTCTCAAAGTTTTCTTCATTTTCTTTTTAAATTTGCTGAGTATTTTTCTCCTCTAAATGTCCAAAAACAGATCACTATGAGAGATAATGTTTAATTCTTTTCCACTCAACAATTTTACTTTACCTGAGCTAGATCAATCACAAAGTCATTTACATATCCATGAATTAAAACTTGGTGCATACAATGTTCTCTGCAGCTCTATTTACAACAGCCAGGACATGGAAGCAACCTAAGTGTGCATGGACAGAGGAATGGATAAAGAAGATGCGGCACATATATACAATGGACTATTACTCAGCCATAAAAAGAAATGAAATCGAGTTATTCGTAGTGAGGTGGATGGACCTAGAGTCTGTCATACAGAGTGAAGTAAGTCAGAAAGAGAAAAACAAATACCATATGCTAACACATATATATGGAATCTAAAAAAAAAAAAATGGTTATGAAGAACCTAGGGGTAAGATGGGAATAAAGATGCAGACCTTCTAGAGAATGGACTTGAGGACACAGGGAGGGGGAAGGGTAAGCTGGGACAAACTGAGAGAGTGGCATTTACATATATACACTACCAAATAAAAAATAAAATAGCTAAAATAGTAAAATAGCTAGCTAGTGGGAAGCAGCCGCATAGCACAGGGAGATCAGCTCAGTGCTTTGCGACCACCTAGAGGGGTGGGGTAGGGAGGGTGGGAGTGAGGGAGACCCAAGTGGGAAGAGATATGGGGATATATGTATATGTATAACTGATTCACTTTGTTATAAAGCAGAAACTAACACACCATTGTAAAGCAATTATACTCCAACAAAGATGTTAAAAAAAAAACAACTTGGTGCATAAGAGTAGATTGCTTAAAATGTGACAGACCTCATTTAATAATTTCTTCATTAAATGATTCAAATGTGTTTTTATTGGTTACACAACATTTAATGGCATATGGTATACTGATTGCAAATATACTACTTCCCTCTTTAATTTAGACTAATGAAAATGAGTTTTATACTTCTTAAATGTCTGCAAAGACTTCATTTGAATAAAATAAAATCACCTCAATACTGTTAATAAAAGTTCTCAGACAATTTGAAATAAATACACAGCTATAAAATGTTGAGTGATTGAATGTCCTATTAAGTATATGAGTCTCATGAGAAGAATACTATTCGTATATCAACCAAACTCATAACTTAGGTCATTTATCAACCTCAGTTCTTGACACTGTTACCTACAAATATACGACAGTCAGTAATCAATTTTAACTTGCCTATGAGTCTATTCTAGGTAGAAAGATAACAATATACATGTTCTTTAAGTTCTGTAAGGCAAAGCACTCAATTCTTCTTAGTTATGTCATGACTCAAGGAACAAATAAGCATATCAAGCTCTACAAATTAATTCAAACAATCTTATAGCTTCATATATATACATGCACACACACATAATAACAGAAAATAATTTTATCTGGCTTGTAAATAATTTGACATAAAACCCAAAAAGGCTCTTCTCACTGGTATTAAGGTTTAACAAAATTACCAATATTTAAATGACAAATAATAGGGTTAAAAAACCCCACTATTTTCTTATTTTATTTCTAAGAAGATATGATAGTAAAGGAGATCATTCATAGGATAAACATTGACACAAAGCATATAACCAACAGAACTATTATCACTGTACCTTTTGATTATATAATAATGATTTTTTAAAAAAATCAAAAGACTTAACATACTAGTTGTACCCAGCAAAAGTTAAATGGTATTAAGAACTGTAAATACAAATGGGCTATTCTCATTTTATTTATTTATTTATTTATGGCTGCATTGGGTCTTCATTGCTGTGCACGGGCTTCCTCTAGTTGTGGTGAGTGGGGGCTACTCTTTGTTGCGGTGCACGGGCTTCTCATTGTGGTGGCTTGTCGTGTTTTGGAGCACGGGCTCTAGGTGTGTGGGCTTCAGTAGTTGTGACACATGGGCTCAGTAGTTGTGGCTCGTGGGCTCTCGAGCACAGGCTCAGTAGTTGTAGCACACCAGCTTAGTTGCTCGGCGGCATGTGGGATCTTCCCAGACCAGGGCTCAAGCCCATGTTCCCTGGACTGGCAGGTGGATTCTTAACCACTATGCCACCAGGGAAGCCCTATTCTCATTTTAGAATCAATAATTTTTTTGTCATATTGATCAATAAAAAACCTAACCTAAATGAAAATTAACAAAAAAAGAGGAATTTATTTAGAGAGTTGATAATATCACACCTGACTTCTTTTCCTTGATTGGATCAATGTAACAGGACAAATAGAAGTTAATCTTCAATTACCAAAACAAAGCATGGATATTAATTAAATTGGCCCTGGTCACCTATTAAATCTATGTTAGAGACATATTTTGGACTGTATACCTTAAGATAGCAGATTAAGTTCAAAAGAATGAATCCTATAATTATCACAGTATCTACATATGTCAGAGGAAATCAGGTTTCATAATCATCTCATCAGGTAATAGCTTTAGAAATCCATATGTTTTTTCCTGATGTGTTGATTATAGAGGCATGTGGGATTTCTGCTATCATTTATCTGAATTATAGGCTACTTTAAGATGCAGGATGGCAAACTTAATGAAGTATTGGCTTATTATGATAAACTCTTTTCATTTAGCAAGCTGGCTAATTTATAGTTGTATAGTGACTTTGACAGTCCATATGTCTTTGACTCCCAAATAATAACTGTCTTCATAATGAAGATATTTCCCTGTCCCAAATTCTTTCAGAAGCTAGTGTTGGCTTGGCATTAAGAAGAAACATGTTTCACATTATAATAAGATTTTATACTTCTAAGGAGCTTCAGCGGTTCTGAAAATGACTTTGAAATACAGTCTTATTAATCTTTAGTATTCTCATGAAAGCCAAGTAGGTGGCAAATATTATCTCACTTTTGTAAAATAGAAACTAATGAAACAATTAGTGAATTTACTTGCCCTAGGCTAAATACCGAAGCAATGAAAAGTCAGAGTGCCAATCCTGGAACTTAACTGAAGATCTTACTATGCATTGCATCTATAATAATTTTTATGGAGACAAGAGTAAAGGCAAAGAGAAAAAAAATCTTCAGAAAATATGAAGATCAATCTAATCTACTTTAAGAGACTCTGGAATAGATATTTGTTACTTGATTGATCGTGCTTGGTCACGGTGAGAGTGATAGTACCTAAACTTCAAAGAACTAATTTCCCTGCACCGTTTCTGGGTGACCACATAACGAGTGTGGTCAGAGACAATAGTAAAGGAATTTGAATTCTACTTCAAAACAAAGCTAAAACCTGACAAAATCAACAATGGTACAATAACTCAAGAGAAGAAAAAGAAAATAAGAAAAGCTAAATTTGGACTTAAAATGGACCTTTAAGTTGGTAATATACTTGATTCCTGAAAGACAGTGAAAAATAAAGCAAGTCTCTATGTATCTCAGGGTCTCCCAAGTATTCTTATTTGCTTGACCCATCGTATTCTCCCGCTTTGATTTTTCATTAAAAACTCCATTCTGTTTCATTTTTTCTCTTCATAGTCTCATAAAGATCCATTACAACAGTTTGGTTACTTAATGGCAATACATTTGTAAATTGCTGTTGAAAACTCTTGTTCCCATTCTTTATCTAATTCTCTTGTGTGAAATAATCTACTTACCGGTTCATTTTCATTATCAGAGAAAGTTATTTCATTCTATTTTAGTATAAAAATGCCATTACTAGTAGATGAACTAATCCTAATTTTAAAAATCAAAATTATTTTTGGAATTTCAACCCCTCAAATAAATGTTTACCTTTTATATAGCTGCTTTGTTAATACTTGAGGAAAATTAAAGTAATTCCATGAGACTGGCATGATATATATCTTGTATACAACTGATCTTCCACATCAGCAGTTATTTCTCCTCTAATAACTATAGCATATTACGAGTTTGGTTTTTTTCTCTAATAGGATATGACTTATTAGCTTTAGTAAAATTAGTAAAATTGTCTTTGGTAAAATTAAAAGACATAAAACTCCAAACAAATCTTCTTACAGTTGAAAAAACATCTAAAATCTTTCACTAAATAAGCGGTTATTTTTTTGTCCTGCACACTTAAAAGAGACATGATAAATGTATGTTTACAATTGTCTATTTTAATAAGGAAACTTTAGATTTTGTTTCCATTTCTTTAAAAAGACAGTCTATACTTACCTGGCCCATCATTCATTTTGTCCAGGCACCGACGAGTTGTGCTAAGAAACGAGGCATGTTTTATTCTGGCCACCAAACTACGAGGTGGCATGTATTTATGCTGAACTTGAGACATCTCATATGATTTTTGAACATCATAGGTGCCTGGTGCTGGAACATCCTGAAACAAATTTCAATGGACTAGCATAAACATATACAGAATTTCCAAAAAGATATAGCATATGTCACACTAAGCAATGATAATAGAAAATATGAAAATTTTCTTTAATTAACCATTAAAAATAGAAATTTAAAAGAGTATCCCTAAATCTATGCCCTCCTTCAATTAACTTGTAAAAATTTAAGATAAAATAAACAGAATTATGAAGTATAGGTTCACATTCTTAAAAAAAATAGCCTTCATAACATAGATCAAACTCTAATTTTCAAATTTCATAATGAAAATCAAATTTTATACAGAAATGAGTGCAGTGATTACTTGTTTTCTTAAGCAGCAAAACTATTCCTGCTTAACTGTCCTATGTGAGCACACCTTACTTATTCTACAAATGAGACTGCTTATTTCATTTTAATAGATTTCAATTAAGTTAAAAGGCTTCCCCTTTCATCACTTATGGCTCTTTACGTGCTCTACAGTTATATTAACATTTTTAATCAACATAAACCACACGGATATTAATAACCACAATAATAATTCTAAACTAAATTAAATCAAAACTATCATATATTTGTTGCACAATTAATGCCTGGAAACCATTAGCTAATTACCTCAATGGAAACTTATAAAACTCATTTTCTTCAAATTATTTTAAAACATAACATATTATATATATAACAAATCTGTTCATCTGTATTATGTATAAAGACCAAACTTTTTAAGTTTTAATGATTTTCTGGCAGGCAGGAGACTTGTATTGTGGCTAAGGTTAGAGACTCTAGCACTAGACTTCTTTGGTTCCACATATCTGCTCCTTACTTGCTGTGGGACCCTAAGAGAGCTGCTTAACCTCTGTGATCCCCAGTGTCCTCATCTGTAAGTGGGGAAACTATAAAATTTATATCATATGTCATTGGGTTGCTGTGAGGATTAAATGAGTTAAAACAAGTAAAATACTTAGATTAGTTCCTGATTCTACAAAAGGGTTAGCTAATCTTACTATTCTACAAAAGCTAATTTCAACGTAAAAAACAAGACTGAACAATCAGGGTCTAGACCAACAGAGAAGAACTTTAATGTTTCAAATAATTCAAACAAATTTGGATACTGAGAAAGCAAACTTTTGAAGTCCATCTAGGAGCCATACTTTATAAAACATACTTTCTCTTGTTCCTTATATCCCTATTATCACCCTCAAGCACAAGCCAACAACATTATCTCCCACTTCCAAAGAATCACTAAATACAGTAAAAGTACTGATCATGACTAGCAGAGGAGATTCTTACATGAAACCCCATATTTCTGGTTTAAGTACTGTGTCAAACACAAATGCCACAATCTATAAGTCAATTAAGAAACGTCAACATCTGTTTGCTTCTTGTCTGCATTAGGAGTACATTTAGTAAAGGTAGGCGGAGGATAAGCAATAGAAGCAATAGCTCCAAAGATGACTTTTGGATCTTTCGGGGCTGCTTCTGTGGTATGTGAAAGCAAAGTAGAAGAGAGCGCAAAGGCACAAAGAAATCATGAGTACAATGTACTCCGAGTATTTAGGAAAGCTTTACAAAGATCTTGATTATCCCTACTATGCATTTTCATTTTCTTATCAGAAGCTGTTATTGTTCTTGCTTCCCTTAGCACCCTGCCTGGAGTCACCACCTAGTCCCTCTTCCAGTGCCTAGCCTAGATATGACAGACGGGTTTGGCTGCTGCCACATAGGAACCTTTTTTTTTTCTTCTTTTTTAATGCCTCGAAGAAAAAGTAAGTAACTGCACAAGTGATCAGTTTTCTTCAACAATAGTGTGTTCCCCTCTAGAAAACTTCGTCAAACTAGCTACCCTACCTGTGTCCTTTACTGATGTTTCTAGGCTCTTCTTACTCATCTTCAACTCTCATTTTATCTGACCAAGAGATTAATATGTCAAATAAATTTTCTAGGCATTAATTAATTCCTAGGATTAGTAAGACAAATCTGAAACCCTGTTTAAAAGCAATAACTTAAACAATACCTATATATAGTACTTTACACACCATTTCAGGGGAAAATAGTATGTATAGATAGGATCATCAAATTTCTGTTGGTGATCCTTTGCACATCACAGAAAAGGCACATGATGAGTGGATATAATAGACATTTCTCATCCTTTTTTTTAAACCCAGTACTTGAATCCTGTTCCTGTGTTTGGGAAATTCCACATGCTTTGCAGCAAAATCTGAGTCCCAGCATAAAAGCCAAAATTACCTGAGTCTTATCTTCCTGGTCTAACTTTAAAAACCTAGGACATGAATCTAGGTCACAGGCTCAAATGCCAGCCTTTCAACTGGCAGCCAGTTATCCAAAAAGACACAGAACATTAAAAATTCCATTTTAGAGTTATTTTATTTATTTTTTAGTTTAAAGAAGCTGAATTAAAAAAAAAATTCTATTCTAGTGATGGCACTCATAGAGCTAGCAGTTATGTTCCCAGAGGCAACAGTGGGAGGACAACCTGAAAGAGCAATTAGAGACTGAGGGAAAATGCCATAAAATGATGAAATAAAACCTATGTCTCAATGCAAAGTAAAGTTAAGTCTAAGGTGTCTTGACCTCTTCATCTGGAAAACCAGGGCCCTACCTAAAAATGACATAAATAATCATAGAATTAAAATAATTGATGTATGCGAAATTCTTAGAATGGTATCTATAAAAAATTAATAAACAAAAACCTCAATTAAATATAGTCAGAAGATCAGGAGGGAGAGCTCTCAAACCATGGGACAACAGCAGAGCCCAACAGTAAGAAGAAAGACCCTCTTCTTTCCTGGCAAGGACTCAGCCAACGAAATGCCATGGACTCTGTTTTCTATAGCCCTCCTAACTTCCCTTTTCCTTTCTGTAAAAGTGTTCTCCTTCCCTTGCCCTGCAGGGAGTTGCACATGGCTCACCATGGTTGCAGACACCAAACTGCAATTCTCTGCTGATCTCAGATAAACTCATCTTAGCTGGAGAAATATCTGGCAGTCTATTTGTTTAGATCAACATACCTGATACATGCACTAGTATTTGCTTTCATTGCCATTATCATCATTATTAGCATTATTATTTCTATTAGTTGTGGGACTACATGAAACCCTCAGTGATATCTCCCTTTCCTGCAGAAAGATACCAACAGGATATTTGAAAGCAAAGCTCCTAGTATTTTAAGCCCCAAACAAACAAACAAACAACAACAACAAAATCCAAAGTAGTTAAGTTGCTGGGAATCACATGAAGACAGTGAATCAGGCAGTAAAAAAAAAAAAATCACTGGTGGCAACCAACTTCAAAGGAAGGCAGGTCACCCTGTTTGTATTTTGGAAAAACCTTTTCCCATACTTCGTGGTTTTATTTAACCATGTTAAGTTGAGTTGAAGCTCACGCACAATTCCCAATGCCCGGAACCCTTATATTAACCACTTAAAATCCAAGCCTAACTGACCTGGAGCCCCAAAGACCAGCTCCTCATTTCAAAAATTTCAGTATTTTTCCCATCCCTGTTCCCTGCCATTTTGACATATGAAATTTCATATACTCTCTAACCTTGGACATATTAAACTGCATGCATGCTCTTATCTTCCAAAACTCTAATTACCAAACATCAACAATAAAACACCCCAGGCCTAGCAAGAAATGGAGCATTTGATCACTGAGTTGTCTCCCAAGATGTATGCACAATGCAAATAAAGACGGAACTCAAGTTTCAGCCTCAAAATAAATTTTCCTTTTACCATGCTATGGTAAAGGACTTGGGGATGTCTTTACTTCACATTTCATTTTTTAATGATACTTTCACTGGATACAGAATTCTTGGCTGACTTGCTTTTCTCTCAGCATTATGAATATGTCATTTCACTGATTTTTGGCCTCCATTACATTATTTCTTTTTTTTTTTTAAGAGTATTTTTTTTTTTTGGTTGCGTCAGGTCTTAGCTGCGGCATGCGGGATCTTCGTTGAGGCAAGCGGGCTCTTTGCTGCAGTGTGCCGGCTTCTCTCTAGTTGTGGCGTGCAGGTTTTCTCTTCTCTAGTTGTGGCATGTGGGATGCAGGGTGCCTGGGCTCTGTAGTTGTGGTGCGCAGGTTCCAGAGTGCGTGGGCTCTGTAGTTTGGGGCACACAGGCTCTCAAGTTGAGGCACGTGAGCTCAGTAGTTGTGGCATGCAGGCTTAGTTGCCCTGTGGCATGTGGGATCTTAGTTCCCCAGCCGGGGATCGAACCCATGTCCCCCGCATTGTAAGGCAGATTCTTTATTACTGGACCACCGGGGAAGTTCCAGCCTCCATTTTTTCTGATGACAAGTTCATGATCACATTATTTCCTCTGTATGTAATAAATTGTTTTTCACTTTCAAGATGTTTTCTTTGTTTTGGTTTTCAGCAGTTTGACTATGGTATGTCTAAGAGTGTTAGACATCTTTATGTTATTACTTAGCAGTTCACTGAACTTCCTGGATTTGTATATTCATGTTTTTCATTAATTTTGGAAAGTTTTCAGCTATCTTTTCTTCAAATGTTTTTTCTGCCCCTTTCTTTCTCACCTCCCCTTCTGAGACTATCATTACATATATGTTGGAATATGTGACATTGACCCAAAGGTCTCTGAAATTGTTCATTTTGTCAATCTTTTTTCTTTTTTCTTCAGATGTAATGGTTTCTATCGAGCTATTATTTAGTTCACTGATTCTGTCTTCTGTCATCTCAAATCTGCTATTGAGTCCAGCTGGTGAATTTTTCATTTGCATTATTGTACTTTATAATTTTAGAATTCTTTTTTAGTTCTTTTGCTTGCTTGCCTGTTTGTTTCTATTTCTTTATTGAGATTCCCTATTGTCTAACTCAGTATATTTTACTTCAGTTATTTAAACATAAGTTCCCTTGATTCTTTGAATATATTTATGATGGCTGCTTTGAAATCTTCATCTGTTTGATACAATGTCTAATCTTACCAAAGTAGGTTTCTCATACTCCCTGAGTATGAAATATACTTA